TTTTTTTCTTCCCACTATTACAGAAGAGCAACTACATCCACACGTTTGCTCAGGAAACACGTAACTCCTCAGAGAGCTGAATTCTAATGCAACTACTCTCAGCCCAGCTACAAAGGGAGCTTTGATTTGTTTTTGCTTAAGCAGTAAAAAAGCCTCATAGATTCATATTATTTGAGTGGAAGGCCAGTAAGAGTGAAGATCCTGAAATTATGTCACTGACGCAAAGGGCAAAGAAGGGGAGCAGGAGAAAGAGGAGGGAAGGGAGAGGAGGAAACATTTCGTACTTTTAATTGTAAAGACTATGGTATATTGTGAGCATAGCCAGGCCGTAACAACAAAAGATCCGAACTACAGACCTTAGCTAAGTTGCTGTCTTTTCCACACAGCAGTGCAGAGGGGAGGCCCAGGGCTGGGGCGGCTGGGCCGCAGCCCACGGAGGGCACAGTTTCTGGTCTCCGGAAGGCTGCTTGAGCACGGACGCTCCCCTCGCCCACGGGGAGTGAGACGGGCAGGCTGCTCAGCTTATCATCGAGTTTATGACATGGGCCCACCTAGCTGCAAGGGAGGCTGGAAGAAAGGAACCTGGAGATGTGGTGAGCTAATTCTGAGCATTCTATCCCTAAAAGGAAGACGACAGATGTCCAGGGAAATTATCCGTTTCTGCCACAGGCTGGTGCTCAGAAACTGGCCCAAAGATGTAAGTTATCTGCTATTTAACTCATATGAAACTTTGATCTCCCAAGAACTCAGGTAAATAAGTGATGGGCTTAAATAAACAAGATGATGGGCTATTTCTACACTCCTAGCAGATTCTTTAACTAGTACTTATTTCCAATCTTATTTACATTTTAAGCTTTTTAAAAAAATAAGGCTGTATTCTTATTACCAATATTGTGGCAAAACTAGCCAGTCCTTGTCTGCTGGTCACAAGATGATTGTTTTCTACCTAAGTGACAGGAAACCAATTCAAAGGAGTTTAAGGAGGAGGGGGAAGAGGGGCAGTGGCTGGAGAGGGGAGCATGTGTTTGACGCAGCTTCTGTGGGTTGGCTTATGACCACTAATAAGTGGACTTTGGAGACATGACCTGGTCTGTTAGAGTCTGCCAGCATTAAAAAAGAAATCATTGATAAGACTATGTAAATTCTAAATACCATACAATTCTCCCACTGAAAACTCATGAGCAGGACATAAGGGGGTGGGGGAGGAGACATGAAATATACACGACCTTTTCTGTATCACTCAGAAAAGGTACACTGAAGGTGAGCATCACAGAATTTATATTTCCATTGAAAATAGAAACATAAATTACTTTCTGAATTCAGGAATATTTTAATGGCAATAATTTCCTTAATCAGAACATTATCTATTCATTGGAATATATAAGCTAATTTGTTTATTAAGGAATAATATTTTTAATGACAACAGTATCTCCCTAAAGAATAAGCAGATGTTAGCCTTAGGAAAACAGAGGAAACTGCCAGTGCTATATACGCCGGATGAATGCTTCAGATTCCCCCAGCTGTGTTCCTTCCAACTATTAACAGATGTTTTACACACATACGCTCTCACACACACATGCACACACATACACACACACACATACACACTCACACTCTCAGACACAGGCACATACACACACACTCGCGCATGCATACACACACATACACTCTCACACACACACATACACTCTCACACACATGCACACACACACACACGCACACACACACATACACTCTCACACACATACACTCACACTCTCACAGACACACTCTCACACACTCCTGTGGTCAAATAGGACCAGCAGCCCTTAGCCCAGTCGGGCCCTGAGCCCCCGGCCCTCAGCAGCCTTGCCAGCGTGGAAGTCCTGCGGTGGCTGCGCCTGTTCAAACCTGGGAGTCCAGCACCCCCCAAGCTAACCTCCCAGAACCACCGGCAGCGTAAGTGAAGTTTGTGGGGCTCGCCCGCAAAGCCAAGTTTAGAGAAACACGTGCCGTGGTTGCTGTCTTCGTGGATTTTGCTGTCTGAATAAATGTAAGGAATCCTGAGTGACAACTGAGCCCGTCTGGATATAACAGCTGACTCCACAATTAGACGTATAAACTGTAAACTCTCCGAAGCCAGCCGCCCCTCCCGTGGGCAGCGCTGCCAGGCTGCGCGCATCGCGGCCGGTGGC